CTCTCTCTTTTTCCCCCTCCCTCCTTCTCCCCACCTCTCTTTCTATCCTTTAGGTCTCCCTCTCTCCTCTCTCTTTCTCTCTCCTCTCTCTTTCTCTCCTCTCTTTCTCGCTCCCCCCTCTCTCTTCCCCGCTCTTTCTCCCTCTCTTTCTCCCCTCTCTCTTTCTCTCCTCTAGCTCTCTCTCTTTTTCTCCCTCCCTCCTTCTCCCCACCTCTCTTTCTATCCTTTAGGTCTCCCTCTCTCCTCTCTCTCCTCTAGCTCTCTTTCTCTCCTTTATCACCCTCCCCCTCTCTCTTTTTCTCCTCTAGCTCTCTCTCTCTTTCTCCCTCCCTCTCTTTCTCTCTTCTATCTCTCCCTCTCTCTCTATTTCTCTCTCCTCTCTCTCTTCCTCTCTCTTTCTCTCCTCTAGCTCTCTCTCTCTCTTTCTCCCTCCCTCTTTCTCCCCTCTAGCTCTCTCCTCTCCTTTCTCTTTCTCTCTCCTCTCTTTCTCTCTCTCCCCTCTCTCTTTCTCTCCTCTAGCTCTCTCTCTTTCCCCCCCTCTCTTCCCCTCTTTCTCTCCTCTGGCTCTCTCTTTCTCCCTCCTCCCCCCTCTTTTTCTCCTCTAGCTCTCCCTCCCTCTCTCTCCCCCTCTCTACTCTAGCTCTCTCTCTTTTTCTCCCTCCCTCCTTCTCCCCACCTCTCTTTCTATCCTTTAGGTCTCCCTCTCTCCTCTCTCTTTCTCTCTCCTCTCTCTTTCTCTCCTCTCTTTCTCGCTCCCCCCTCTCTCTTCCCCGCTCTTTCTCCCTCTCTTTCTCCCCTCTCTCTTTCTCTCCTCTAGCTCTCTCTCTTTCCCCCCCTCTCTTCCCCTCTTTTCCTCCTCTAGCTCTCCCTGCCTCTCTCTCCCCCTCTCTACTCTAGGTCTCTCTCTTTTTCTCTCTCCCTCCCTCTCCCCGCCTCTCTTTCTATCCTCTAGCTCTCCCTCTCTCCCCCCTCTTTCTCTCTCCTCTCTCTTTCTCTCTCCTCTCTTTCTCACTCCCCCTCTCTCTTCCCCTCTCTTTCTCCCTCTCTCCCCTCTCTCTTTCTCTCCTCTAGCTCTCTCTCTCTCCCTCTCTCCCCCTCTTTCTCTGTCTCCTCTCTCTATTTCTCTCTCCTCTCTTTCTCTTCCCCTCTTCCTCTCTCTCTTTCTCCTTCTCTCTCCCCCCTCTCTCTTTCTCTCTCTCTTTCTCTCCTCTAGTTCTCTTGTTCTTGACTTGTTGTTGTCCATGCCACCTTCCTCCTTTCCAGGTGAACAACATGCTGGTGTACGTAGAGAAGAAGATCCTGGAAGATCCAGCCATCATGAACGACGAGAGCTTTGGGTCTGTGAAGAAGCGGTTTTGCACTTTCAGCGAAGGTAATGGAGCAACGGCCAGGTGGATCGAACAGACTGGTGCACCACGTAGTAGGAAGTCTATGAGAAAGAAAATCAGAAAGATGATAGGGGGTTGGTCCTCAGCATACGACCGGTTGCTTATGAAGCCCCCCCCCCCCCCCCGAAAGCTACTTGGTTCAAAGATCCTATGTTGGGAGCCGGGAAGCTGTGTGATCATGTGACCATATTGCTAGTCAGCCCACTTTTACAACGGTGGGCTGGTTGCAATGCCCGGCAGTCATGTGACTCCCATTCGGGATGGTATTGTAGGAAATTGGCGGAGTGGTATGGTGGCCTAGAGGCGGCGTTCTCACCTTGCAACCAGGAGGCTGTGAGTTCGATCCTAGGTAGAGCCAGATATTTCTCTCTCTGGGCACAATGAGAAATCTATCTGCCGAACAAAACTCCGCATTGGCAATAGGAAAGGCATCCAGCCAGTAAACTCTCTGCTAGCTCCATTCAGTTGCCCAAATTCCACCCCGCAAGGGATTACGGGGTCATTACATGATGACGATGATTGCAGGAAATGGGCATTTATTTCCAGTTTCCAGCAAAAAGGGTTCACTTAATGACTTAACAGCGGCAAATGTCATAAAATCAGGCCCAGTCATCTGGTGACTTGCTTTACGCCTGTCACAACATACAACTATAAACGTGGAGCTGAGTTACGGTCATAACTCAAGGACTGCCTGTATATGGAGATATATTAATTCTAAGGGGGAAATAGGTAGGAGCCTTCTCACCATATCCCATTTTTCTCAACAAATCTTATCAAAGAAGAGTCTGTAAAGAATGTACAGGCTTGGAAAGAATTTAATTTTTGATGTCAAAAAATTTCCAGAAAGCCCACCATGAATATTATTAAATGACCATGGTTAAAACAGGACCAGATGGAAGGGTCTTCCATTCGGTCGTCCGGCTGTATCTTTCCTTGTTTAATTGGTAAGATTAAGAATCAAAGATCTTGAAATGTTAATTTCCCCCTGTGTTTTTGTAGATTATGACGATATCTCCGATCAGATAGACTTTATCATCTGCCTGGGCGGAGATGGGACGTTACTCTACGCTTCGTCACTTTTTCCAGTAAGTTCCTCTCTAGCCTATTTCTTTACATAACTTAAATCATTTCGGTTATCTGAAGTTGTGTGTTCAGGTGTTCTAAGCCAGTTCCTCAAACACAACAATCCTTCTGAGGTTAACTCCCAAGATTCCTTCATTTAGGAGCGCCAGAAGCCCCGGCAAAAGGTTTCTCTCTCACCGCAGGCTAACAAGACCATCCAGCAGGGAAATGAATAGTTGCCTGCCACTTCTCTTCATCTCTGCCCCCTGCCTTTTATTCCCAGAGCTAGGGTGAGCTTTTGCTAGCAGCAGTGGCTCTTCCGTCCCGAGGACCGGCCCATAGATTTCCACTGCTCTCCTCTCCTCTGCCACATCTATTAATCTCCGCCCCCTGCCTTTGATCCCCAGAATTAGGGTGGGGCTTTGCTAGCAGCGGTGGCTCTTCCGTCCCGAGGACTGGTCCATAGATTTCCATTGTTCTCCTCTCCTCTGCCTTCTGTGCATCCACACGTTAGGCATTGGACCCAGCTGTTCCTCCTCTTCCTCATCAGTCACCTCCAGACTCGGGGGCTGTTGACCCTCCCATCTGAAGTCTGACAGACGGCCCAGGCTCCGCCTCCGTCTCTCTGTCTCTGTCTCTGTCTCTCTCTCTCTCTCTCTCTCTCACTCTCTCTCTGCCAGCTCCATTCCCTCTTCCCCCTCGGAGCTCCCAGGTTGCCTTAATGCTGATTCTGACTCCTACGCCTCCTCCTCCTCTGATTCGACTGCTGGAGGGGTCAACGTCCGACTCCCCCCGCCCACTTTGTTTTTTTTCCCCTTTCCCAACAGATGAGTGTCCCTCCAGTCATGGCTTTCCATTTGGGGTCCCTGGGCTTCCTCACCCCCTTCAATTTTGAGAACTTTCAGTCTCAAGTCACCCAGGTCATAGAAGGTAAGTTCTTAAGGGGTCCTTCCATTTCTACGGGCTGCTCCTAAGAGGTGTGGGGGTCTTCTCTGGTGGACGGTGTCGAATGGGTGGATTTTGTCTGCCTCCGCACTGATCAATTCAGGGTCCCCAAAATGCTTTTGGTGTGCTGTCAAGTTACATCACCAATGGGGCATCGTCATTGAAAGACAGAGAGAGGGAGGAATGGAGGGAGAGAGAGGAGAGAAAGGAGAGAGTGAGTGGGGGAAGCAGAGAGAAACAGAGGGAAGGAGGAGAGAAACAGAAGGAGAGAGAGAGACCGAGGGAGGGAGAGAAAGGAGAGAGAGATATGGAGAGAGAGGGAGAGAGAGAGAGAGACAGGGAGGGAGGGAGAGAAGGGAGGCAGAGAGAAATGGAGGGAAGGAGGAGAGAAACAGAGGGAGAGAGAGAGACCGAGGGAGGGAGAGAAAGGAGAGAGAGAGAGAGATGGAGGGAGAGGGAGACAGAGGGAGGTAGGGAGGAGAGAAACAGAGGGAAAGAGAGACCGAGGGAGGGAGAGAAAGGAGAGAGAGAGATATGGAGGGAGAGGGAGAGAGAGAGACAGGGAGGGAGAGAGGAAAGAAAGGAGAGAGATATATATAGAGGGAGAGGGAGACAGAGGGAGGTAGGGAGGAGAGAAACAGAGGGAAAGAGAGACTGAGGGAGGGAGGGAGAGAAAGGATATATATATATATATATGGAGGGAGAGGGAGAAAGAGACAGGGAAGGAGGGAGAGAGGAAAAAAAGGAGAGAGATATGGAGGGAGAGGGACAGAGGGAGGGAGGAGAGAAACACGGAAAGAGAGACCAAGGGAGAGAAAGGAGAGAGAGAGATATGGAGGGAGAGGGAGAGAGAGAGACAGGGAGGGAGGGAGAGAGGAAAGAAAGGAGAGAGATATATATAGAGGGAGAGGGAGACAGAGGGAGGTAGGGAGGAGAGAAACAGAGGGAAAGAGAGACCGAGGGAGGGAGGGAGAGAAAGGATATATATATATATATATATATATGGAGGGAGAGGGAGAGAGAGACGGAGGGAGGGAGAGAGGAAAGAAAGGGGAGAGAGAGATACGGAGACAGAGGGAGACAGAGAGAGGGAGGGAGGAGAGAAAGGAGGGAGGGTGAGGTCTGAATTAAATTTGTTCCTCCAAATTGGCTCAGATTGGAAGCAGGTTCTGCCTGTATTATTCCATAAAATGAATTGTGTTTCCGGTTATTCAACGTAGGCCATTCTTTTACTAATTGGCCTTGCTCTTCTAATCCCTTCTTGTCTTAATTCCTCCTGGCAGGCAACGCAGCCCTCGTCCTCCGGAGCCGGCTGAAGGTGAAGGTGATTAAGGAACACTGGGAGAAGAAGGGCATGATTCAGAACGGGATCGAGGAAAATGGCGTGGTCTCTCCGGGTCTGGAAAAAGAAATGTTTAAACAAGCAACTCAATATCTGGTGGGTATCCTTGGAATGTTATTTTTATTTTTATTTCAATTATTTTATTATCTTATGAGTGGTGCGGTGGCCTTAGGGGGGAGCTCTTGCCTCATAGTCAGGAGGCTGTGAGTTCGATCCTAGGAAGAGGCAGATATTTCTCTCTCTGGCCACAATGGGGATGGATCTGCTGAAAAAAGACTCCGCTCTGGTGACAAGAAAGGCATCCGGCCAGTAAGCACAGCTCCATTCAGTTTCCCCGACTCCACC